CATTTTTGTAATTGAGTTGTAGGACTATTTGTGCTCATTTTAATCTTGAGATTGTACCCACATATTGTTATATCCTTGTTAGAAACTAATTTTATATACTTGTTGTAAGTAGGCTAAGCGGTGCTATCATGAAAATCAGTTATTAAATTAACTTGTATGTTTCAATGTTATTGTTAAAATTTTAATGCAAAAAAATGGTTGTTGATATATAAAATGTATGTATATTCTTGATACATATTTTATAATTATATTATCTTGAATGACTATATCATTGTAAATATTATTTGTGGCATTGTGAATGATTATATCATTGTAAATATTTTTTGTACCAAATGTGCGTGTAGTGGCATTATGGACGACTATATTATTGTAATTTTTTTTCTTGATTCTAAGTGTGACTTATACATACTCTTTTTATCTATAATGTTGCATAAATATTTTTTTTTTTTCAATAAGAACTAATTTATGCTTGTCAAAATGAAGATTTGTGACGAGTCCACATGTACTGGCATTGTAAATTACTCTACTATTGTAAATATATTTTTTATTGATACTATATCATTGTAAATTTTTTGTTCTATATGTAGTGGCTGTTATAGACTATTTTTATCTATAATGTTGCATAAATAAATTACTTTTGCAAGTGGGAACTAAAATATTTTTACCAGTAGAAGTATTTTGCATTAACAACAAAGATAAATTCATGAACTGCCCCTAGATATTATCACTACACATGGTGATTATTTTTTAAGTTGAGTTGTTAGGTTAATTTTTAACCATTTACATATTAAAACAGTTGAACCATGACAAGATGTAGGGAAGACCCTGCATGGCAACATGGGGTCAGACTTGATCCCAACAAAAAAGACAAAATTATTTGTAATTACTACAAAAAAGTGATAAGCAGTGGGGTACATAGGTTCAAGCAACACTTGGCAGGGGTAAGGGAGATGTTTCTGCGTGCAATGGTATCCCTAATAATGTACTAAAGCAGATGGCATATATTCTCAAGGCTACTAAAGGTAAAAAAATTGCAAAGCAGAAGATAGATGATGAGATAGCTGGTTTATATACGCCATCGAGCGGGAATGATCCAAAAGAACAATATAATAATGACTTGGAGATGACCACGATAATAAATTTACAAGAAACGTATCAGAGGGAAAGCGGGTTTAGAATGCCTGGTGGTTATGACATGGGCATGCGTGGCGGGCTTAGCTCAGGCATGCATAGCGGGCCCAGCTCGAGTATGTATGGCAAGCCCAGCTCGAATATGTATGGGAGAGTTAGTGGCAATATAGATCAAGAGGTACCAGACGTTGAAAAAATTGTTCCTGGCTTATCTAGGAGTGTCAGTATTGCAGGTCATGGTCGTATAAACCCATTTCTCTCAAAACCTAAGTCACAATAGATAACCCTCAAAGGTATGGTGAAAGGTACGAGGAACAAGTTGGGCAGATATGTTGGTAAATGGTTCTACGATAAAAGGATCCCCTTTGATGCAGCCCATAACCCATATTTCCCACTTATGATCAACGCAATCCAGAGAGCTGGGCCTGGGGTAAAGTCCCCGACTGCATATGAGTTCAATGGGCCGATCTTGGATGAAGAGGTGGAGGAAGTTAGAAAGTGGATTGAAGAATATAAATAGAGTTGGCCAAGAACAGGCATTACTCTCATGAGTGATGGTTGGTTGAATAAAGTTAGCAAAAAAGAGTTTCTTAACTTCTTGGCCTATTCCCTAAAAGGTATAAGCCTTTTTGTCTAGTAAATACGTATCAGGGATAAAGAAGGGATACAAACTTCTTGAAACGACTATATGATCAGATAGTGGAGGAGGTGGGAGATAAGCATGTAATCCAGTTTATTACGAATAATGCGCGAGCATGTGTTTCTGCGGGCAGCAAGTTGATGGATAAGAAGAAGCATCTAGTATGGACCATGTGTGTTGTACACAACATCGATCTTATGTTAGAGGAGATTGGTGAGATCAAAATTATGAAGAATACTTTAGAGGAAGCGATGTTGGTGTCAAGATTTATATATAACCACTCCAAAATCTTATTTTTGCTCAGAGAACAATCTAAGAAAAAAGAGATAACCAGGCCTGTCATAACCCGCTTTGTGACAGATTACTTGGCTGTGGAGTCCACTCGGAAATATGAAGGTGCATTAAAGAAATTGTTTACCAGTTAAGAGAGGTTAAATGACCGCCACTTAAAGTTTAGTATCGGGCTAAAAGTGGACGACATAGTCTCAAATAGGAGGTTCTGGTCTCAATGTTCTGGTGTCGTAGAGAGGTCATTATCCCTTTTGTCATGATTTTAAGAATGGTGGATGCTGACAAGAAAGCTACCATGGGTATCATTTATGAAGGTATCGAGAGGGCCAAATCAGCTACTGAGGGGAAGTGTAGTTTTGCTAGTAAAGTGATCGAGATTATAGAAAGAAAGTGGAACACCAAATTTGGTCGTCCAATTCATTATACAGGTACATATATATTTATATCCTTAGATTGTTTAATTCTAAATTATTTTTTTATGAAATTTAAATGACCTTTATCTTTTTATGTATTTTCTAGGCTATTACTTCAACCCAAAATTTTTCTATTTGACACCTGAACATTCCTACAAGATTATGGAAATGGTTAGATACATTATTGTCAGGCTGGAGAGAAGCTATCGAAAACAGGTAGCAGTAATACAATAGGTAATATTTAATATTTAGGTAAGAGCTTCATTGGGTTGTTATATTTGTGGCGAATAATGTACTAAAACAAAATATTTTGTTTTAGCTTGCTATGTATAGGGATGCTATAGGATCCTTCAAAACTAGACTTGTATGGAATTTTCGAACTAAGATGGATCCAGGTTAACATTTAACTAATATTTTATTTTTTCATATCTTTAATCTTATGAATTGTTCTTACACTTACAATGCTTTTTGCATTTTAATCCAACTAAATGCTGGGAGATATATAGTAGTAATGCACCTCACCTAAATATGATAGCAATCAAGGTGCTCTCTCAGACATGTTCTGCTACTAGGTGTGAGTGAAACTGGAGTACGTTCTAATGGTTACACACTTCTAGGGGAAATCGATTCGCTTCGAAGATGCTTCATAAACTAGTCTATGTTCATTACAACTTAAACCTTCAAGAGCGACAACTAAGAAAGAAGCCTGAAAACTACGGGCTGATAGACTTGGACACAATATTTGTCACAGACAATGAGTAGTAGAGGAAGATGAGCCAGTATTCTACAAGGGAACATTTCTTGTACAATGGATAGTAAAGGAAGATGAGCCAATATTCTACAAGAGAGCATTCCTTGTATAATGGGTCGTAGAGGAAGATGAACCAGTATTGTCCAAGAGAGCATTCCTTGAGGTTATCGGTGATGAAGATCTTGAAGAAGGTGATGAGCAGCATGAAAGAGGAAGCAGCCCGTCAATATATCTACAATTATTTGAAGATATCGATGATATTTCACCTAATGAGGGAGAGTAGGAAGGGAGTCTAAAGGAAAATGAGAGAGATGATGATTCTGAGGCGTCCTTATCTCAGTCAAATTATTCACATATTGAGTCCCAACAGCAAGAGGGTAGGGACGAGCACGACAGTTTAGGTGATCACGAAGGATAGACAAGCTTCAGGGATTTTGGATTAAGAGCACAACAAAACACTAACACTCAGGGATTTAGTTATAGTCAGGTGCCCACTAATTTAGATGATTCGTTTTTAAATCGAGTCAATGAATTGTCATACGAATTCAATCAATGGCTTTAGCGTGACCAAGATGAAGAATGACATCGTCTGTTTTCTTATTTCTAGGTCGTATATTACGAATTGTATGTTTTATTGTAGTCCATGTATGATGATATACTTAATCCATGATAATTCTATACGTATCCTTTTGTGTGAGGTAAATTAAATGGTAAACAGTAGTTCTTGCAGGGAAAGAACATATCAATATTCGCATATTCATCCAAAAAAATAAAAATTCTTAATGAAGTACTGACATTTCTTATTGGATTCCTAAAAAATAACATTAATAATGAATTTTAGTTATTTTTTTGATTTTATATAATGCTTAATCAGACCAATTCGACTGATTCCTAATCCGGGTCGTTGATTCACCGATCCATTTTTTAAACCACTGGTTTCAATCATCCGATATGTTTGGGGCGGGGGGGGGGTGGACTTTAATTTTGTCAGGTGGCCCGATGAAAGTAATTATGGTAGATAGCTTACGACAGTAATGCGTCTATTTAATAGATTTATCGAGACCTATGCTTTGATAGACTTGCCAATTTTTTGCTCAAATTTTACTTGGTCAAATGGTAGCTCTTAAATTAATCGATGTCTAAGCCGGATGGATTTATGGTGTCTGAGGAGTGGTCTGATTTCTTCCTCCTTGCCTCGGTCAAGGCTTTACCCAAGCTCTCCTCTAATCACACACCCATTCTACTATGCTCTAAAGTTCTCTCTACAGGACCTAAGCCTTTCAGGTTTGAAGCTGGTTGGTTGGCAGATAAGGAGGTGCTTGATCTTAGAAAAAAGTGTTAAGGAAAATTCTATTTCCGTTGGTTCAATGGACTTTCAACTTCACAAAAAGCTCTTAAGTGTGAAACATAAGCTTCTTGCTTGGAAGAATGATAGAGGATTTAATGTGAAAAAGAAAATTGAAGAGGTGCTTAGCTGTTTAACAGAGGTGGAATCTAGGGTTCAAAATTCAGGAGTTCTACTTGAGGAGTTGGTTTTAGTAAGGAACTCTAAAATTAATGAGCTTCATGAACTCCGCAAGGTGGAAGAGGTATATAGGAAGCAAAGATCTAGGGACTTTAATTTTATCAGGTGGCCTGATGAAAGTAATTATGGTAGATAGCTTACGACATCAATGCGTCTATTTAATAGATTATTGAGACCCATGCTCTGATAGACTTGCCCATTTATGGCTCAAATTTTACCTGATCAAATGGTAGCTCCTTAAATTTATCGATGTCTAAGCCGGATAGATTTCTGGTGTCTGGGGAGTGGTCTGATTTCTTCCTCCTTGCCTCGGTCAAGGCTTTACCCAAGCTCTTCTCTGATCACTCACCCATTGTACTATGCTCTAAAGTTCTTTCTACTGGACCTAAGCCTTTAAGGTTTGAAGCTGGTTGGTTGGCAGAGAAGAAGGTGCTTAATCTTAGCAAAAGTGCCAAGGAAAATTCTATTTCTATTGATTCAATGAACTTTCAACTTCACAAAAAGCTCTTAAGTATGAAACATAAGCTTCTTGCTTGGAAGAATGATAAAGGATTTAATGTGAAAAAGAAAATCGAGGAGGTGCTTAGCTGTTTAACAGAGGTGGAATCTAGGGTTCAAAATTCAGGAGTTCTACTTGAGGAGTTGGTTTTAGTATGGAACTCTAAAATTAATGAGCTTCATGAACTCCGCAAGGTGGAAGAGGTATATTGGAAGCAAAGATCTATAGGGCAAATGGTTAAAGGAAGGGGATTTAAATACTAAATTCTTCCATTGCATTGCTAACTCTAGGAGACGTCAGAATAATGCTTATGGGCTTTTGATTCATGGTGTTGATCTTGATGATGTGGATGGAATGTCTAATGTGGTTATCAGTCATTTCAAAAAAGCTTGCATCACTGAGGTAAAAGTCATATCTCGGTTATCTAGAGTGGGTTTTAAATGTCTTTCGGTTGATTCGATATTATTGCTTGAGAGGGATGTTTATTTGGAAGAATTAAAAAAAACAGTTATTGGGCTTCCGGGGGATAAAACACCTGGACCTGACGGTTTTCTACTATTATTTTTCCACAAATTCTGGAGTTTGGTCTCTTTGGAGTTACTGGAAATGGTGCGTGTTTTTTGCATAGTGGTGAACTCTTTAAGTGTGTTAACTCCACTTTTATCGTCCTTATTTCCAAAAAGTCCGTTATTGGGAGCCTTAGTGATATGAGGCCCATTAGCCTTCTCTCGAGCCTTTATAAAATTATCGCTAAGGTTCTAGCTGAAAGACTTAAAATGGTATCACCGAAGGTTATCACTGGGCCCCAGTCTGCATTCATCAAGGATATGATATTACCAGCAGTATTTTGGTTGCACAGGAGTGCATTCATTCAAGAGCTCTAAGTGGTTGTGTAGGGTTTATAATCAAATTGGATATAGAAAAAGCTTATGATAGGTTGCATAAAATATTCTTCTAGAAATTATGAAGAATATAGGCTTTGGGGAAACAAAGAGAAGTTGGATGTATGGGTGTTTATCCTCTACACATTTATCTATTCTTTTCAAAGGTTGCCTTATCGGTTTTTTTGGAGCCTTGTGTAGGCTTCGTTAAGGTGATCATTTGTCCCCTTTCTTATACACCATTTGCTGAGTGCTTTAGTGGTTTTGTTTGAAATGTTGAAGTAAAAGGGCATTTTAGAGGATTTCTTAGGCCTAATAATGGTCCGTGTATATTGCACTTACAATACGCTGATGATACACTCTTTTTTTGTGTAGCTAATTGTGACCAAATCGAAAATATTACTACGTTCTTGCAATGCTATGAAGTAGCTTTGGGGCTTAAGGTTAATTTTGAAACATCTGCAACAATTGGTATTAATTGTGATGACTCTATGGTCCGTGACATTGCAAGTGTGCTGGGATATGAGGTGGAAGTTTTCTCTATTTTGTATTTGGGGATGCCAATTTTAGATGGCCGCCTACCTATAGCCGTTTGGGACAAAGTGATTCAGAGGATACAAGTTAAGCTTGATTTATGGAAGTATAAATATCTCTCTTTTAGTGGTAGGATTACCTTGGTTAAAGCTTGTCTGTCAAACTTGCCAATCCATCAGATGTCTTTACTACATATTCCTCCTCGGGGCGTCAAGAAAATTGAATCCTTAATGCGAAACTTCCTTTGGGGGTCTTTTAATAACTCCAAAAAATACCATCTTCTTTGATGGGACAGAGTATGTACTCCTAGAAAGGAAGGTGGTTTGGGTATTAGGAAAATTAGATTGGTTAATGAGCATTGTTGTGTAAATGGTAGTGGAGAAGCTTAAACATCAAAGACCAGTTGTGATATCAAGTTATTTCTGCTAAATATGGAGAAGATAGATTTAAAATGTAGGTTGGGTTGATAAATGATACAAGAGGGATGTCTTACTGCTGGAGATCCATTAACTCGTGTAAACCATTGATCCATAGGGATACTATGCGGAATCTTAGGGATGACTGTAATATCTCCTTTTGGCACCATAAATAGTTAGATGATTTCCCTTTGAACTATGTCTTCCCATTGATTTTTAAGCGCATGGATAATCCCAATGCCGTTATCCCTGATATTTTTTAAATCAGAGGCAATCAGATTGTTTGGAATTTAGTCCTCCTCTATAATAGAATTTTTTACTAGATTTTTCAAGAATATGTTCGTTTGTTAGCACTTCTGCAAGATGTGAATATTCCGCAAAATACAGTTGATGAAATTCTTTGGGAGCTTGATTCAGATGGACTATTTTAGGCGAAGTCAATGTATAATCTGCTTTTCCATTATCGCTTTGTGGCTGGTAGTGCAAGATAAGGTTCTCACTGTTGATAACCTTATCAAAACAGGGAAGATCTTGCCAAATATTTTCTTATTATGCAAAAATGATGCTGAATCAGGTGCTCATCTATTTTTACATTGTTCTTTTACGCTTAAAATTTGGCATTGGTTCTTTGACCAGCTCGGGTGTGCTATGGTTATGCCTGCGGCAGTTAAAAGGATTATTTCAAATTTAGGAGTTTCTTGGCTTTCACAAACTGGTGTGGTAATTTAGCAAATTGCGAGAGGGCTAATTCTTTGGGAAGCTTGGAAGGAGATAAATAGAAGAGTGTTTGAAGGGATTTGTTTGCCTATGGAAAGTATTTTGGAGAAAAATTTACATTCCATTTGGCTTTCATGTTTAATCACAAAAGAGGGTAAAGATATTCTTGAAGTGGATGTTAGGAGAAATTTAACAAATCTTTTCCATTTAAGATCTTTTAAGTGTAGGCCTCAAGGAAGATGGATTACCCCTTCGGCTGGGACTTTTAAACTTAATTTTGAAGGCAGCTTTTTAAGAAATCCGGGTCCTGCTGGCTTTGGAGGAGTGGTGAGAGATTGGAATGGATCTGTTGTCTTTTCTTATGCATGCCCACTGGGAGACAAGATTGCAAATGGTGCAGAATTATTGGCTCTCTTCTATGATTTAAAATTCTTTGTGGCAAGGAATTTAGGGTCTTATTGTGTGGTTAAACTTGATACTTTGAATGTCATAAAGTGGTATAATAAGGAGCAGAAACCACCTTGGGAATTTCGATCCTTCTTGTTACAAATGTGGGATATGTCTAGACCTTTCATTTTCTACTTTGTGCATGTCTTTCGTGAGGCTAATGTTTTAGCAAACTCCCTTGCTAAAGGAGGAACTTCTTTAATTGAGATTGTCATCTTTAGATTCTGTAATTTCTTTTAATTGTTGATTAATAAAGTTCCGAATTTCTATAAAAAAAAGGTATCAACTTTATTCTAATAGTTGGAAGGGTCTTAGCCGTATCCGTTTTTTCTGCCAAGGAACTAGACGCTTAAGACACTTAGAGACACCGACACTCGTATCGGTGTCCATATAACACTGACTACATACCAAAAACCTACAGATTTTGCAATTACCTAAACTTGATTAGGAAAAGGAGGGTTAAATCTTGAGCACAGGAGACCACGTAAAGAGGAAAGAAGTTTCTAGCATAAAAAGACCATATAATTGTGTCACTTTCACATAGTGGGCCTTGAGAATATATGATGCTATTTGTTGAGAAAAGACTGCAATTCAATTATGATGTTTTAGGCATGTGTTTGTGTGTGCGGAATATAATCATCATAATATTACTCCAACTCACAGACGGACGTGTCCATTAATAGTCCTCATGTTCAAACCCAAGTTATTTGCTGTAAGAGCAACTAATGAGCAACAAATCTTTGGATGTTCGAACCTACCTTACCCACCTAAAAGGAGAAACAAGCCTAACCAAAACAAGTGAAACAAATCTCTCTCTCACTCTCTCTCTAAATATCATCATGGTACTCATGGATGAGAGCAACAATGATTAAGCATTTTTAACCCTAATAAGCGATCGTCTTTTGGAGAATATATGCATGATATGATCAACAAATCCTCTCTCTTCAACATACCCCCCCCCCCTCCTCTCTCTCTTCTATGTTAGGCGGGGGGCCCATGGGTTGGGTGGCCCGTCCCTCCCCGGTCTCCCCGACCCTAAAAAACTAGGACTTGGGCTACAAAATGTGGCTTGAGTGTCAGGTATGAGCCAAGCCAAGACAGACCCGGCCTGACCCTTATTTTTTCATATTTTTTGAATTATTTTTTTTTGAAAAGATAATAGAGATTATTTATTGGAAACTTTCGACAGGTACAATACATATCTAGATACAACTAGAGAAGAAAGAAAGATTGTTTTCAAGAGGGAAAAAGGCCCGGCCCGGCACTTAATTCTAGTTCTGGTAAATGTTTTGAAACTTATAGGGCCGTGCTCTTTTTCTCTCTCTCTCACACACACACACATTCAACAGTTATGTCATGCGTACATAGGAATAGTCCCAATGTTTTTTCTAGGTGAATCAATGGGGATATCGGGGCCTACCCGTTTTATTAAGAAGCCAAAAAGATATGTTACATGAGCAATCATACAATAGTCCCAATGTTTACTAACCCACCCGAAACATAAAAAATACAATGCAGACTACAATTGTTTCTAGTGGAGAAACAATCATTATAAGTAAAAAAAGATGTATTGGACAGCCTCTTGCACCACGCCTATGTATTTCCTTCTAAGATATCTTGCACCACGCCTATTCCTTAAATAACATCTTCCCCCTAACTTTTATCATGCTCTTGGCCTTTGAGTAGTCCCTTGGGGCTCACCTTGTTTGACTTCATTCATGCAAAAGGGTTTCAACAACTACTATTGCAGTGTTTATTGATGCCCGCCCTTAGAATTTGACATAAATGTATGATTGAGGAAGATTTATGCATATAAATCGAATTATGGTCACAATAAAGTTGATTAACAATGTCATAACCATGGTTTTGCCTTTTGCTCTTTTTCTTTAAGAGTTAATTGCCTTTATATGCTTCACAGCCGAACATCATTGCAGTTATGTGGATCAGTTCACATACAAGAATTAAGAAAAGATGTGAAATCATGATCCATTTCATTATAAAGTGGAACATTTTCAAACTATTTCTGAGCAAAAGTTTACTTTAAATCTTTTGGAAAGGGAATTATGGTCCATCATAAGTTGACTTGATACTATCTTGATGACTCTGTCTCTCTCACACACAGTCATGAAATATTCCATCGCACCTAGTGACTAAAATTAAACAGAGTTTATCCAATTTGGGGATCATCTGCTCCATTTTTAAAATTAAACAGACACTATCCAATTTGGGGATGATATTTTCTAATGAGCAAGTGCATTGTGTCCTCCTGACCAAGCTCTTGCATTATATATAGGTATCGGATATTATGAGAGTATTTATTTTTTGTACAATGATATCACAATTGAAATCCAATACATGAAAGTATGCCATAGGATTCGAAAAATTTTATTTTAGACTTATACCCAAAAAATAACACATCCTCCAATTTTTATCATAAATATAATTTTGATATAAAAAAATCTTAAGATGGCTTCAGAATCTATTTTATCTCTAAATATAAAATGTTAAACTCCAATAATGGTTCAAATCAAGTAGATCAATGAACACTTGAAAATCTTGAAAATTGACGGTATAGATAATTTGTTGTAAGATATAATATTGTTTTCTTTTCATATTCATACATCTTGAGGTCCAACGAGATGATCAATTAGATGGTCTTCCATCATCAAAACAACCTTCTATGATGGATTTTTGAAGTGGACTTTAATTCTATATTTTAAGGTTGCACCCTTATATATGTTGGGAGAGTTCGTCCTATGAGGGAGGACTTCCTTTTAGAAAAACCTCTAGAGGAAATCCGGAAGGCCAAGAAAGTTTGTTTTTTTAGAAAGATACTGTAACTATTATATTTAAGAGTGGATTTGATATCTTCGTCTCGTGGACCTAGTATGAAAATGTGAATCAGATAAATACTTTGTTTTTTTTTACATGTTTTCCCAATTATACATATACATCGATTTTTTTCATGAAAGATGAAGGGTAAACCCAACACTATAAACTTTTTCATTATCCGGTGGAATATATATTTCTCTACAGTACAGTTTAATAACATGTGACATTAAGAGGAAGGCTCGTCCTAAAAAGCGTAGAATAAAGGGTGGTTAAGGGACAAGAGGGACAAGAGAAGAATGTATTTATATACCCTGCCGTTTCCCAAGGGCGCAGGTTTTTACAACCCTAAAAAAGCTTGTAAAGAAGTCGGGGTAGATTCTCTGTGTTTCGTGTCCATATGGCCATGTGATTCACTTCTCTCTCTCTCTCTCTAACTTCTCTCACTATTTTGTATGCATCCTCTTTCTCTCTCTAGCTTCTCTCACTATTTTGCATGCATTCTCGTCTTTCTCTCTCTAAAAATGAGACTGACTTTCTCTCTCTGCGTTCTACTCTTTGCTTGTAAAGCGAACACGCCCGTTGGGAGCAATCATGCAGTCCGTGTAGAATAATTCCTCTCTCTTTAATTCTTTATTCCTACACCCGAGGCGGGCTGCTTAACTCTTTTTCAGATCTCGTACGCTCTCAATTGGTCCCCCTCTTTATCTTAATTTACGGTAATATCCCTCATCACTGTATTAACGTGGATTTAATGTTGCGTGTACAAAACTACATTGTGTATCACCCAACTCAAAAAGAGAATATACTGCGGTCTTTATGAGCATATCGCCATAAATGTTGGGCAGTGTCCATTCAAAGAAGGGACGTTGATGGAAAGAGTGGGACTCTTGCTTGGCCATGTCCCTCCCTCGATTAGATGGTAATAGGGAATTATGCCGAGGTCCAATTTTTGTATATTTTATGCAAGGGAAACGTTTATACAGAATAATCAAATTTGAGCTTACTTAAAAAATTTCACTAAAACACGTTGTTTTGATGCTCAAATATCCTCAAATTGATCGTCTCGACATCAAGATGCATGGACTTAAGAAAAAAAAATTGGATTTTAAGTTTTTGAAATATTGCATCTTGTAACGTATTTTTTGACCGTCAATTTTCAAGATTTTCAACTTTTCATAGATCTGCTCGATCTACATTATTTTTAAAGCTTTAAATTTTATAATTAAAGATGAAACTATATTTTAAGGCTATTGCAAAAATTTATAGTATTGAAACTATAGGCACCCTTAACTTTCAAAATGTGAGGTTTGTATAGAGCTGAGGCTCTAAACAATCAAATTTGAGCCCACCTTCAAATAGTGTTGAGACATATGGTTTTAGTATTATAAATTTTTGTAATAGCTTTAAAATATATTTTCATCTTTAATTATAAAATTTAAAGCTTTAAAAACAATATAGATCAAGCAGATCTATGAAAAATCGAAAATCTTGAAAATTAACGGTCCAAAAATGCGTTACAAGTTGCACTATTTCCAAAACTTAAAATCTTTTTTTTTATTCTTTCTTAAGTCCATGCATCTTGATGTCGAGATGATCAATTTGAGGATATTTGGGAATCAAAATGACCTCTTCTAGTGAAATTTTTGAGGTAGGCTCTAATTTGATTGTTTAGAGCTTAGGCTCTATATAAACTTTTCCCTTTATGCAATGGGTTCATCTTTTTTATTTTCCCAGTTGTTGCTCCTCTGTTCGATGTTCCAAATACTGTTTCATTTTATTCTCTAATCCTTTCGAATCATAAGGACCGTTTGGTTTTTGTGAAGATTGTGCAAGCCATGAGGTTCGAGGACTAGAACCTCGGACTGGTCATTGGAATGTGAATTTGAATCCATGGATCAGTAAACATCGGGCAAGCCAAGATTGCGAATTTCATAGCCTAGGGACTAGTCGAAGGTTCCATAACTCATACCACTTGAATGTCCATAGAAGCCAAGTAATTCAGGGTCGTGAATTACATGCTACTCCCTACACTTCAAAAAAAATAAAAAGTAAAAAAAAAATAATTCGCTATTTAAAACATCAAACCCAAAAAAAAAAAAAAAAAAAAAAGGTGAAAAAAAAAGGCAATGGTCCAATATTTAGAGCATCGTATCAGTGGACCTTGTAAAATTTGAACCTCTTCGTGATTACTATATTCAAATAGATATAGACGACATAAATTTCCCGAGATTTTATAACTATATAATCACACACTACTTACTAGATGGTAATTATACTTATTAGCAAGAGCAATGATATGAACCATTCATAAGCTAGTTCACTAAAATGGTGTAATGGCTTGTCCCAATCATCATCAACTGAATAAGTTAGTCCAAGCCAATGACAGCCAAAAATAAAAAAAATTGGCTACGTTAGCTTTTGTGGGACGAATTCAACAATTGATATATGATATATCTACCGTCAAGCACAAGCCTGATGGACCAGGTGTGGGTATATGATTTCTTGTATTGCATGCGGTTGTGTGTTTTCAAATCGGTAGGCTCTATATGTATGTGTCAGATCGCTAGATCGACGATCAGATTAGACGATCTAGATAAAAAAATAAATAAATTAAAATATGGTTTTATGAGGTAGGGATTTAACTAGTTTGATCATGAAAAATTCTTAATTAAGATCGTTGCTTCTAAAAAATGGATCACTAGTTCTAAAATACCTACTATATACTTTTTTGCAAATGTCCATCTTAGACCCTGTCATAGATTTTATCTGAGGATGATAATACCAGTGTAGAAAAAATCGAATCGAAATGGTTAACTAGACATGGGCACCGAAGTGGGTTCAATCAGCCTAATTGGTAAACTGGTTAGTTCAACACACCGATCGGGCAAGTCTCAAGCAGTCAAAAAATTGATTAAAAAAAATAAAAATACAAAAAAATTTAATAAATTATAAAAAATATATTTAAAGCATAATTAAACAAAGTACATCCAAATAAAGTTAAAAATCAATGAAAAAGCCGACTTTAAATAATCGATTTGTACCTCGAAGTATTTTTAAAAATTTCTAAAAAAAATGAAAAAATGTGAAATAAATATGAATGGCCAAAACAATTTCCAATCTTTGTTGAAATGACAAAACATTAAAAAATGCATTACAGATAAAATCTCTTTCTTTTTTTTTTAATAAATTTTATATAATTTTTTTGAATTTATTTAGACTACCATGCCAGTTCACTGAAACCGACTGCATCTAATATTGTGGTTACAATTTGAACCGCCTGATTTTTTTTTATACTGATCAAAACGATAAAAGGTCGTTTCGTCATTTTAATATCATCATGGGTGCCATTGCGATTGTCCTCCTAAAGGGACATATTAGCTATTCATAGAACCGAAGAGTGGCGTTTTGGGAAACGAGGTAGGAGCATGTTTACCCATTCTCATGATATGTGCTGGTTAGTGGGGCACCCCGCTCGTGCAATAGCCCTACACACGCACGCCAAAAGAGAGATAGAGGAGAGAGAGAGAGAGAGAGAGAGAGAGAGGGGCAGTTTTTGTCAAACCAACTTAAGCTCTTCATAAAGCGGTTTTGGTCTCAAGTTCTCAACAGCGCTTCCACTGCAAAACCGCTAATCCTTTTGCACTCCTTTCATTTGTTCCTGCACTCTTTGTTCCCAAAAGTTGGTGTTCCTCTGTAAAGTTAGTATTTTTCTTTGTATATATACACCCAACCCTCTCCTCTTTCCTATTACCTTTGATCCCTACCCTCTGAAAACCTTATGCGGTCTCCCTCCATTGATAGTTAGAGAGAGAGTGATAGCAAGAGAGAGAGAGAGAAATGGCAAGTGACAAGGTGGAGAGTGCGATAGTTGGGAATTATGTAGAGATGGAAATCGAAGGGAAACCCATCACTGTAAAGTCGAGGTTGTCTCGGCTCTTTTGGCATGGAGGTTCGGTTTATGATGCCTGGTTCAGTTGCGCCTCGAATCAGGTTCGATATATTCAATTGTTTCCATTCAATGTTAGTGGTCATGTTATATGATTTTTCTCTGTTGGAAACTCTTAGTTTGCTGCGAAATTTTTAGAGAGAGAAAGGCTACAAGGTTTTTTGTGTGGAGTTTTGTTCAGGTGGCTCAGGTGCTTCTCACTCTACCATACTCCTTCTCTCAGCTCGGAATGTTATCAGGCATTCTTTTTCAGCTCTTCTATGGTTTGATGGGCAGCTGGACCGCCTACCTGATAAGCGTTCTCTACATCGAGTATCGCACGAGAAAGGAGAGAGAGAAAGTAGACTTCAGGAACCACGTTATTCAGGTAAGATGAAAACCCCCCACAAGAACTTGGTGCCATTTTTCTCATCTCCAATACCATGTAATCCCTTCTGGTTTTACTCTGTCTCTCTACAGTGGTTCGAAGTTCTCGATGGGCTTCTTGGAAAACACTGGAGAAACGTTGGTTTGGCTTTCAACTGCACCTTCCTCCTTTTTGGATCAGTCATTCAGCTCATTGCTTGTGCCAGGTACCTCTCTCTCTCTCTCTCTTATCTGAGATTCTTTCATGGTGTTGCTTTTTTTGACGGTTTCCTGTTTTAAATGTACCAGTAACATATATTACATCAATGACAACCTTGACAAGAGGACATGGACATATATATTTGGAGCTTGTTGTGCGACCACCGTTTTCATCCCCTCTTTCCACAACTACAGAATGTGGTCTTTTCTCGGACTGATCATGACTACATACACAGCCTGGTACATGACCATCGCCTCCCTGCTCCACGGCCAGGTAAATTGCAAATCCGCAAATCAGTCCTTCTTTGTATCGATTCTTGAACCTGTTCGTTAAATATGCACATAGTATCATGTACTTTGCTTTTTTCTTTTGTGATAAATGTATTACCATGTATGTTAGTTACATGATAAATGAGGCATGATTTGATAAGAGATTTTTTGATGTGGATGTGATCAGGTAGAAGGGGTTAAGCATTCAGGTCCTGCTAAGATGGTTCTCTACTTCACAGGCGCCACCAATATTCTCTACACATTTGGTGGCCATGCTGTTACAGTGTAAGATCTAACGAGTCCATCTTCACATGCAGCTTCTTTATATTAATGCGTAGTATACTGTTTGTTTCAAAATCCCTTATCCTGTACACATTTGGTGGCCATGCTGTTACAGTGTAAGATCTAACGAGTCCATCTTCACATGCAGCTTCTTTATATTGATGCGTAGTATACTGTTTGTTTCAAAATCCCTATGCTACATGCATGCTATGTGCACCCCCATCACAATATATTATCACAAAGATACAAAATTTCTCCACTTAAATATTTTTATTTTTTTTTTCCTTCAATGACCTCTATGTGTTCTTGTGCATAAAAAGGAAACCAAGCTTGTCGTCTTCACTCTTGTCTTCTTCCCTTCTTTCATAGGGCTGGCAATGGGCTGGGCATCCTGTCGCTGGGCCCTAAAACGGTAGGGCCTGAGCCACAAATAGTGGCAAGAGAGGCAGGCCGTTAGGGCCAGTGCTGGCCGGGCCCTCTTTTTTCTCATTTTTTTCTTGGGCTTTTGTTTAAAGGGTGCGGTTCATTTCGAGGCCCTAAACAATCAAAGTAAGCACCTTCCTAAACTACGTTATTTTCTTATAAAAATCTTACGATGGCCTATAAATTTATTTTCTATCTCTAATTATAAAATTTAAAGATTAAAAAATAATGTAGATCCAGATCCATAAACACTTGAAAATCGATGTGAAGATAATACATTACAAAATGCGCTACTTTGAAGACTTGAAATCTATTGTTTCTCATGTCTATACATCTTGAGGTGAAGTGGGGATGATGTCATTGAGGTGCTCCTTTCAACATCAAAACGACCTTTTCTACTAAATTTTTGAGGTGCTCCTTTAATTGTAATTTTGATTATTTAGGGCGTCACCCTTGTATAAATTTTTTCCTTGTTTGAAAAGAGGGAAATTTGAAGGGGTTGTTTAAAGCGTATCTTCTTTATGATGGAAAAAAGGGTGTGTTTGTTTGTTGGGCAGGGAGATAATGCACGCGATGTGGAAGCCTCGGAGATTCAAGTCTATATATTTGCTGGCCACTCTCTATGTGCTGACACTTACACTGCCTTCTGCCGCCTCTGTTTACTGGGCCTTCGGCGATTTGCTCCTTAATCACTCAAATGCCTTTTCTCTTCTCCCAAAATCTCCCTTTAGGGACATGGCAGTCGTCCTTATGCTCATCCATCAGGCACGCCAACCTGCCTTATTAACCCCCTCTCCTCATTATTACTCCTACCATTAATTTATACTTATACAAACCTCGTTTTGGCCACCTATATCTACTGTCTGGTCATTTAATTTCATCTCAAAAGACGCGGAAGATAGTCGGTGGCCAACCCACAATTAGGCCCCAGGCCCGGCCCGGGTTGGACCAGACCTAGCCTGGCCCTGGACCCTATTGGGCTATTCAAGTCCAAGGTTGAAGAGGCCCTCGTCCTATTCATTTTGGCAGGGCTTTTGTGCTGTAGTGGCCCAGCCCTCGGGCCATATTTTGTGTCCTGGCCCTACCGTTGATTTCTCAACGCCTGCCTGGCTACCCGGCCCATTCATTGCCAACCATAGCCATAAGGACCTGATGGTTTAAAGAATCTCAATTTGCACCCATGTCATACTCGCCCATTGTTTAAGTTAGGGGTGGCAACGGCTCGGGTCGGACGTAGAACCGGACCTGAAAAATGATATGGGACCTGGGCTGGGACCGGACCCAGATCCGACTCAAAAATTAAAATATCTTTTCAGCTAATTTAAATATATTGAGACCCAAAAAGGTATTACCTTACGTGGACTTGGGCCCGAATAACATTCGGGTCCAAGATTCCCGACCTGGGTTCAAGTTTTAGACCCGGATCGGGTTTCCCCCCTCGGGTCTCGGGTTGGGTCCCCCCAAAAGGAATAGCAATTTGTAGCATGTTATATTCATGGATGCAAATTTTTATTCCATTGATCAGAAATGAAAATAATGTAGCCATTCAATCTCAAAAAAAAAAAAGAAAAAAAGAAAAAAAAGAAAATAATCTAGCCATTAAAAAATTGAACTACATTTAAAAAATGGAGGCTCTAGCATCTAAGAGAGTACAGTTGGTATGTTTCCTTTATAAGCTTTTTAGCTCTTTCTCAGTTATGACTGACGCTACTATCTGTATATATATATATATGCTTTTGCGATGGGGACAGTTCATAACGTTCGGTTTCGCATGCACACCGTTATATTTCGTGTGGGAGAAGGTTTTAGGGATCCACGATGTGAAGAGTATATTGAAGAGAGCTGTTGCCCGCTTGCCGGTTGTGATCCCCATATGGTTTTTGGCCATTGTTTTCCCGTTTTTTGGACCAATAAACTCAACCGTTGGATCTTTGCTGGTCAGTTTCACTGTTTATATCATCCCTGCCCTTGCCCACATGCTCACCTTTAGGAGTGCTTCGGCTAGAGAGGTAAGACTAAAATGCCCCTGCCTCTTTTGCAATATTTCCTTATTACCCCTTCCTATAATATTCTTTTTCTTGATATTTCCCTGTAAATTCTTATGGTAAAAAAATAAAATAAGAAAAAGCACAACAAGAATGACAAAATATGGAATTTTTTTGTATGCTACAAGACGAGCACTAGATATACTGAAGTGATACTCGTGTCATTTTCATGCCAACCTCATCATTTTAATGTTGGTGAACTCTATTTAGTATAATGTTTTTTGTGCTTTATGTTAGTCTCTTAACCTGTTTCGTAACGATGGTAAACTCTCTTGGATTATTTGTCAATAGCAAGAGAAAATAGGAAAGTAAATATATACAACGAGTATACCGCATGTAGTGTGCTACATTACACGAACACTTACGATAAGTGGTTTAAAAAAGGATCGGTGACCCGGATTGGGCATTATAAAAACCAATCTGGATCGGTAAATTGGCAATCTAAATCATCGTTTTACTGTGCGAAAAAATAGTGAACCGTTGAAAAGACACAGGCAAAAACAGTGAGCTGACGAAATACCTATCCAGACTGATGAATCGGCGTTTTTATTGTAGCAATATGCTATTTTACTATAGCAAATAGCCGAAATCGTCCTGGTTTGAAAGAGAACAAGCTTTTTTTTTTCTTTTTTTTGGGTAATTGAGAACTCTGGCCCCAAAAAAAAACAAGCTAGTTATCTTCTAGACCCAAACAATTTCATATGTATTAACAGATTCGGCATGGGGTGACCGATTCCGTGCTAGCTCTAGCTCGGTATTTTTCTAAATCACTAGTTATATTAAGTCGAAGTCAAGAGCAAGAGGACAGATGATATAATATAAGTCGTAGTTATTGTAATGTTACTTTATTTTGTTGGTGCAGAATGCAGTGGAGAGACCGCCAAAGTTTATGGGGAGTTGGGCTGGAAGCTATGCAATGAACATGTTCGTGGTGGGATGGGTTTTGGTTGTTGGTTTTGGATTTGGAGGATGGGCAAGCATCATTAATTTTGTCCACCAAATTGACACATTTGGCCTCTTTACTAAGTGCTATCAATGCCCTCCTCCCCTTCCTCCCCTCAATTCAACTTCCATGGCTCCACCCCCTAAACCCCACCATCCATGAGACTCTCTTTGGACTCTCTACCAAAATATACATGTAAAACTTTGGAGGAGTCTCTCTTTTTTGCATTTTTTTTGTCTTCTTTTTTCTTCTTTTTTTTTTTGGTCTTTTTACTTCCCTTGCGGGTACTACAAAAGTGTCAAAACCCCAAGTTATTAATAGTATTTATCTCATTTAGTGGGAGCTTAATTGCGGTAGCATATTGTGCATGTGATTCAATGGTGTTTCTCCTCTCTTTCCTGGTTGTGCAGGTTGATTTTTAGGGTATAACAAACAAAAGCCCTCTTTTTTAAGGGGAATAGAAAAATAGAGTGAAACAGTTGGATTCATTTGGACGAGTGATTATTCAATGGTTTGCAAGTGGATCAAACTTGAAAACCGCCACCCTCATTTTGTCGAGAAAACAAAAGCAATTGCAAAGGCCAACCAAAAGATTGCTATCTTTTTGGGTTGCCTCCTCTTTTACAAAACGCATGCCCAACATAAAGCAAATCTCTCTTTATTTATTATGTCCTCGACATCTCAAAAGAAAGAGTGGGAGAGTTGTCGTACAGCCTTAAAGTTATATTTTTGGTTTATCCACCTCCATTTCTCCAGTCTCTAGTGCTTATGTATGCATAGTGGAGATTTGGATAAATTTTGGGAGCTTCAAACTAGATTAATCTTTCAAATAGTGAGTTATCAAACTTGCCATTGAACTCTAGTGAGGGTTTGAAACTGGTTTGATCATTGTTGAACTCTAGTGAGGGGTTTCATCCAATTGAGATCATTGTTGAAACTTTTAAAACAAGATTTTAACGATAGAAAGATATAGTTTAATAATATATTTTATATAGTAAAATAAAATTGCTTAACTTTATTTAACCAGTTTAACTAATAAAATCCGGCCAGTTTAATTCGCTAAAATTAATCAGGCTTTGACTAGTTTTTGGACAAACTTGATTTTGTTTTGGATTAAATCAATCAAGGCACCAACTAGCCTGATCGGTCCAGTCTTAGTATCTAGTTTAAATTTTTTATGAGAACTACGCAGAAATGTGTGAGGTTTTCAAGTGGGCAAAGACACCAAGTTTGATGACACAAACTAAACATGTTGTCCATTCCCTTAATTAACAAGGTTTGGCATGATAAGATATTTGAGAATTTTCATGGCTCCTCGCTCAAATATTGGATGGTGGTAGTCCTGGCAACTAGCCGGCCCCTATTCCCCTAAGGGCCAGCCCAGGCCAAGGAGGCCCCTATTCCCCTAAGGGCCAGCCCAGGCCAAGGAGGCCATGGCCATATCCCGGTCTTGTTGGGCTAGAGCTAGGCTAATAAAATTCTAAAAAAAATAAACAAACGAAAATAACTGCCGGCATGTCTTGAACCAACCCCAAGTCTGACCCTTGGGCCACATTTTGTGGCTGAGGCCCTAACTTCTCAGGGTCGCACCGGGTCAGGCCAGGCCACCTAGCCCATTGCCACCCTTAATGGAGATTAAACGTTGAGGGTTATACCATAGATGTTCTTCTTACATCCTTGCATCCAACAATCATTAGATGGCCGACTACATATGCTTATTTTACATCCTTGTGCAGTTTGGCAAATTTCTCTTTTTTTTTTCTTGACCCTGAGAAACTTAGCAAGCCCTTAGGAGCGTAGTATCCCAAAACACCCTAAACCGCAAATACCATGGTCCATAGTCCATTAAATCCTCATTTAAAATTGAAATTAACCAAAATATAGGATAGAGGTCGCGTTTAAATTAAAATATGAAATAAGAATAATCCAAAAACACATGCAATATCACAAGAACTGAAATCCCGATATTCGGATCATCTTTGACACAAGACACGATACGCATCATTTGGATGGATTTGACCAAAACAACATGATTAGGGTCGTCTAAACCAACCCCTGCCGAAGCACGATGTCTAGGCCAAAATTGACCGAGACTACAAGATTCGTGTTGTCTAAATCATTCAGTGACAGAACATTGTGTTGGCCAAGATGATACGATTCGTGGGGTCCGTCCCAAACTGACCTAGACGATCCAGATAACATGAAGGTCATCCAGTACCAAGGTTGCGTGCCTGAGCGGCACTGAGCCGGACAGCTCAATTCTATCGTTTAATCTATGATGACCCAAACGACACATCTCATGTCGTCTATTACATTGACTGTTAAAATTTCAAAATTTAATTTCAACCGACAGGACAAGTACATCGAACCATTTTCTAACCACTCAAAGGTCTATAAAAGGACCGAAGTCTGACCTCTTGAGGGTTCACTTAGGCTCCTACTTACTTTAGGTATTAATGAGTGAAGTGAGATATATAGAAATTATGGGAGAAAAAAGAACCATAAATCCTATTAACAAAGCCCATATTTCAGCCTCCCAATATTAAATCGAGGAAAACCTTAACTTAGAAATCTAGGAAATCCAATTCAACTATGCTAAGGGTTGGTCAATCCTAAAGAAAAGTAAAAAGGACAACGATGTAAACACAACCGCGGTTTTGATACGGGCGAAGCTCTGGGTTCAAGCATTCTAGGTCAACCTGCTCGGGCAAGTAACTCTCCATCTTTTTCTCTACTTTTGATGATTTGGTTACGCATTGGCACATTGGCTATGCTCGCTCAATTGATCATATAGCAGAAAATCCTCCCACCTAGGTGGATCAACCCCCAGATCATAATTTGACTGGCTCTAGTGTCGGGTTGGGAGATTTTTTTCTCAAAAATCTCTCAAATTTGCACTGTATACACCTTGCATCCAACAACCGTTAGATGGAGGACCAGCGCACCCGGCGGTGGCTAACTTTGTTGAGAATTGGCGGGTTGAAATGGGGCAGAAGAATAATAGTTTCTTAAATACTTTTGACGAGTAACAAAATGGATCAACAATCTTTCTGCATAGAAACTTCATTATGGTAATAGGTTTCCCATTTAGTGAAAAACAATGTGCATAAGCTCTTTAGGCAAATTTGTAAATAAGGAAACAAATGATTGATCACTATCTTAACTGTACAAATACCACAAGTACAACAACATTTAGGACACCAAAGTTGCCTTTGTTTTAGAGAGTGAAAGTCTATACAAGAAAATATATGGTCAAAAGATGAGATATAGCTATATGCAAAACTCTACATCAAAAGAGAAATTTGAGTCCCAAATATGCATAAAGAAATATGCCTTTTCGACTACTCCCAACCTCAGAAGAACGGTGTGGTTAATGTTTCAAACTTTTATTCTATTATTTAGGATGTTAAAATTTTAGCCTATAGTGGGTTTTTTATCTTCCTTGGAGGTGTCTAGGTCTTTTTGGGCTATAGAGCTTAAGATTTCTAATCTCTATAAAAAATTTCTAATCTCTATAGAAAAACTAAAAAATTTAATATTAATTAGAATTTTTTAGGGATCAAATTAGGTTTTAGGTTGCTTTTTTTCTATAAATATATTCCTCTTACATCTGAAAAAAATAAGTGAAGAGAAAAAAAAAGTTTATTTTAAGATGTTGAGAAGAGATCTTTTTAGGTGTGAATTCATTCCTCAGAGATGGTATATTCTGTCATATCTTTATTTTATTTTATGTATTTTTTGATTTGTTAAATTTATTTCTGCATCAATTGGTATAAAAGAATTTCCCTGCATCACTTTTCAAAAAACTAGAAGTGTTCGATTTTATTTCTATTACCTCTCTATTCATTTCTTTCACTCCATGAATTCGGAGTTTACCTTGCACGGTCAAAGTGAAGAAGTTTTGCCTTCATGATCAATGCGTTGGTGCGTGAGAGGATGATACAAGAAACTGAATATTTCATCAAAGTATTGCATGAAAAAAATTTGAGCTTCTTGTTTTGGGCTTCTACTATTGGTGCCTTCCGTGAATTTGAGTCATTATAAGTATGTGTTGGCGCTTTATAATTAAATGTAGAATGATTTATACCGCTCCTCTTTTGACCTCGAGTTTATAAAAAATATTTAAGAAATATTATAAATAAAATAAAATGACTAAAATATCGTTTAAAGATTTAAGGGGTATTTTGGTCATTAAATGTTATAAAAAAATTCGTTTTAATATTTTTTTTTAGGTGCGCTCCAAATTTTATTTTCATGCAATTTGTAGAAAAAGTTTAAAATAAAATACTTCGAGATGTTGGATTTAAATCAAACGGTGAGTGGCTCACTTAATCTAAATTGGACGACTAGATGGTAAGAAACATGCATCTTACATGCTGTCCCTACATATAAAATTTATAGGAAAAACTGAATAGCCCCATAGTAAAAGGGACTTCTTAAACGCTTTATCAATGAGGGCAGGTTGAGTTTACATGGCTCTCTTCCCTCTCTACCCATTTCAGCTAAAAACCCCTCTCCGGAATCCATTGATACTAATAAACTGATTTATTTCCTATATTTGTTTGCCTCTGAAACTCCATTGAAGCTGAGGCCTTAATCAATTGTAGATCAAACAAAAATGGGAGGTATTCATCCTAAAATCAGATTAAACTCTTAATCTCGGGTTAAATCACAGCCCACCAATAATTGAAGGCCTCTGCAACCAGAAAGCTGCAAAAAAAATCTTACATTTCTTTAGTTAAGGTAAATCATGCCATTCTCAAAATTTGTTTTCATAGTTGAGTGATAGCAATGAAACTGTAGAGTCTGATTGTAGAGGATACAAGAATATATTTTGGTAAGGTCGTTTTATGACTTCAATATTACAATCAGAGAACACATTACAAAACTCAAATCAAGGAGAATATTTTTTTTCAATATTAAGATTGTTCGGGACCTAGCTCTTGGTCTTTAAAAGTGAACCATTAATTTATAATCTCCCACAATCGTCACAGCCTTTTCGAAACCAAAATGCAAAATAAATAAGAATGGGAACAAGAGGACACAAAGGATACCCGAAAAGGGATATAGAGTTGAAAAAGGGTTCTGCACTCTCTGCGAATCTTCTTAATCTTGCGATGGCAAATTGAGCTACAAATCATGTCGTACTCACCATTTTGTGACCTTTGATTTGTCCTTCAATCAGTATTTAATCTTGAAATAAACCCCTAAATAATTATACGAGTGGAAACAAGGCCCTGAGGTCACTGCAGCCTGTGTGTTTTTCATAGCCCAGTATTCTAACCATAAGTGAGAATACTGACCTCTTTGACTTGGTAGTCCTGAAAAATGACGCCAAAGGGCTTCACAATGCTCC